AAACTGAAAACAGAAAGAATTAAATTACATGTTTGAAAAACTTTCTGGCAGAACATTTCGATCCTCAACAGAAATTCACTCTGAAATATTATTACCATACTTTTCATCATTTAACATGAACTTTATCATAAACTAGTTTAAAAACTCACATAAACTTTAGCAAGTCCGTCATCCATAAGTTATGAGAAGAGCAAAACAACTTGCATAAATGTAAAGTCGCCTATTCCAATGCCTGGTTTACAGTTTGAAAATAACTAAAACATTTTTTAGCCAAATGCAATCAATCGGAGTTCGGTAATTCCAATGATCTGTGAGTCAAATTTTCTTCGGCTAATTTATATTCACTTCTGTCGTCAACAGGAAAATTATTTCTGCACACCTCATTCGTCTTTTACGTCCATGCACACATATGTTTGCGCAAACGCATGCAAAAATCTGATCGAACTGAATCCGTCGACAGAAGCGACAAATAGCAGGCAGGAAGAAGGTTGAGTATTGCTTTTTCTTTTCATTATTAGAAGAGGTGTGAGAAACATGGCAGAACCTTAAAAGGGAGATAACTCAGTGAGACAGATTCATTTAGCCTGGAGCTAAAAACGACAAAGTCTCCGATGGTGAGAAAACTAATTTGTTTCATGAAGCAAAACAGAAAAGAAAAAAGAAAGAAGGTGATAAAAGGTGATTAGGAGAGGAAAATGAATAGGAAATAGCAAGAGAAGTATCCAAATTTTGGATGGTAAAAGCTGAAGAAGAAAAAGAGACAAAGAAACAGGAGGAAGAATTTCAATTAGGAAAAATGCAAAAACGAAAAACAAATAAATAAGTGAAAAGAGGTGAAAATTTTGAAATTCAGAAGAAGGAAAGTATATCGGTTATAAGAAAGAAACAAACAAAAGAAAGAAAGAAAGAAAGAAAGAAAGAAAGAAAGAAGAAAAACGAAGAAATAATGAAGGAAGATTAAAGATTTTATATTACGAGGAAAGGGGACGTACTTAGTGTCAGAAAAAAGAAAGAACGCGTTTATAATAAGAAAGAAAGAAACATAATTATGAGTTAGAAAGAAAGAAAGAAAGAAAAAGGAAGCTAAATATGCATTGGAAAGAAAGAAAGAATGAAAGAAAGAAAAAAGAAAAAAAGAAAGAAACATAAATATGACTTAGAAAGAAAGAAAAAGAAAAAGCTAAATATGCATTAGAAAAACAGGAAGGAAGGAAGGAAGGAAAAGAAAGAAAGAAAGAAACGTAAATATGACTTAGAAAGAAAGAAAAAGAAAGAAAGCTAAATATGCATTAGAAAGAAAGAAAGAAAGAAAGAAGGAAAGAAAAAAGAAAAAACGTAAATGTGTATTAGAAAGAAAGAAAGAAACGTAAATATGACTTAGAAAGAAAGAAAAAGAAAGAAAGCTAAATTTGCATTAGAAATAAATAAAGAAAGAAAGAAAGTAAAAAAGAAAAAGAAAGAAAGTAAAAAAGAAAAAGAAAGAAAGATACGTAAATATGTATTAGAAAGAAAGAAAGAAAAAGAAAGAAAGGAACGTAAATATGACCTAGTAAGAAAGAAAAAGAAAGAAAGCTAAATATGCATTAGAAAGAAAGAAAGAAAGAAAGAAAGAAAGAAAGAAAGAAAGAAAGAAAGAAAGAAAGAAAAAAGAGAGAAAAAAGAAAGAAAAAAGAAAGAAACGTAAATGTGTATTAGAAAGAAAAAAAGAAACGTAAATATGACTTAGAAAGAAAGAAAAAGAAAGCTAAATATGCATTACAAAGAAAGAAAGAAAGATACGTAAATATGTATTAGAAAGAAAGAAAGAAAGAAAGAAAGAAAGAAAGAAAAGAATTCATTGCCGCTCCAGTAATGAATGATTGGGTCGTTTTTTAATGGAGTCTTTGTCATCTGCCAGAGACAATTTTTCCCCGATGAACGCGGAAAGTGTTTTTTTTTTTTTTTATTTTATTTTATTTTCAAGCGTTTCATAAAACTATCGTATTTAAGGATGGGGAGAAAAAGAGATGGGCCTCTGTGGCTTGGCAGAAGTGAACGAAAATTTATTTGCTGTTTGTCACTTCCCGTTTTGCTTTTTACTGTTTACAGAAAACATCAAAAGCATTTTACTCATCAAACAAACAAAAAATATTCGACTTGTTAGATCGGTGAAACAAAGTGCCATTGAGAAATTAACACAATTTAATCTCTATCTATCTATCTATCTATCTATATATATATATATATATATATATATATATATATATATATATATATATATATATATATATATATATAGAGAGAGAGAGAGATATATATATATATATATATATATATATATATATATATATATATATATATATATCATATAAATATAAGTACTTATACACGTCTGAAAAGGTATAGGTGTTTTGGCTTGTAAATGAACCGACCAATACACAAGGAAAAATAAGGGATAAAAAAACAAAGCACTAATATATATATATATATATATATATATATATATATATATATGTCTACCCTTTGTATTGATCCAAGCGTTCTTGTTGCTGAACGTTATGTATTAAATATCAAGACAAGATCCTAACAAACTACGAAAAATTCTTTGACTTGGGTTACTTGATCTTTGCTGCAGGCATCAGGATATATCCTTGATTCTATTCATTTAAGTACAATAGCAATTTTGTGTCTGGGTCAATGATTTGCTGTCCCCAAGAATTATTTTAGAATTTGTTTAGCGCCTGAAGAAAAAACCTACATCTATACTGACGTACCAAAATCATACAGTAACTCTACATGGCATCTGTTCCACAGATGGTCATAAAACCTCTGGAGAGATGTTGGACAATTTCATCTGTTTCCAGATCTCCGATTCTTTATAGGAACCGGATATGAAATTTGAATAATTCAGAACCACATCCGATGAATCCTCGGTTAGGATCCTGTCAGACAAAGGCACCAATTATCAAAAGTTAGCAGAATGCTCCTCAAATCACTTCTGGTTGATTTCAGTCTGGTGACGCAGTGTTTTATTCTTCTAGAATAGCTAAATTCTCATGCAAGGTAATATGAACGAAGCCCAGTTGGTCCAAGAAACAATCCCAAATATACAACGAAGACATAATCAATGGTCAAGGATTAATGGTTTGGAGGTACATCAAAAGAAAAGGTAGAACAAAGTTTATAAAAGTCCACTGACCAACGAAAAAGAAAGAGATAGATAGATAGATAGATAGATAGATAGATAGATAGATAGATTATTCGAACTATTGTCCTCATTTTTGTCGCCATATTTATTACAACATTTCGGCCGTTGTAACATGCGGCCTTCTTCAGGTGATTAGAATGTCGAACTGAACCCTTTATTTCGCTCACTGGGGTAGACTGTTCTAGTTCCACGGCCATGTTTAATGGATGTCAGTTATCAATTATCTCCTATTAATTCCCCTCTGAAAGTTCCCCATTGTACCATGTGTCCTCAAGGACACATGGTACAATGGTCTGGTTTGGGTGTGAAAAAGTATTTGTTGTTAACATTCTTTTTTCATTCGGTTTTTTTTTTCGGTTACGAATCCTTTTTTAAAGCTGATCGTTTTGTGTTCATTTTGTTTAGTTCTTTTTTCTTAACAGATTTAATGTTTTGTATAGAGCTTAGAAAAAAGTGTGAGATAGACAAGAAGTAAGGCATGTAGCAACATCAGCACGACAAAGGGCACTCCTTTAATGACAAGGAAGGGCAAAACTATTTTAAGTCAAGTGATAGCGATTGCTGTATGAGTCGTACGATATTTGAATCAAGCACGGGCAACGCCGGGCCATGCTGCTAGTTTATCTATATATCTATATCTCTCATTTACAATTGTAGCATCTCCAAATATTTTCTTGCTGACTGTTGTAACCTATAGAGTGTCCCTGAATGAGGAATAACCAACACGGAGGTTAGAAATGAAATGGTAATCTTTATAACATCAACAAAATCCAATACTCGCCAGCGGCATGAAGTAGGTAAACCACCCCCACTTACAAGAGTGTCCAACGTATTTATGAGGATTGGGACATGCCCATAAGTACTCATAGTTACGTTATATAATAGATAGATAGATAGATAGATAGATAGATACACAAATCCACATTCGCCCTTGCATGGAGTATTGCTGCCATATATGGTCTGGTGCCCCTTCGGTTTGCCTCGGGGTTCTTGATAGGCTCCAGAGGCGGATATTCAATGTGGTTGGCCCTGCCCTGGCGTCTCGTCTACAGTCACTTTCTCACAGACGCGCCGTCGCCCCCCTCTGTTTTTTCTACAAATACTTCCATGCAAATTGCTCCGAGGAGCTGCATTCGCTGGTTCCCAGACGTCATGAGTTCCAGCGCCCTACGAGGCTGGCATCCCTCTCTCACCCTTTCACTGTCGAAACTCCTAAATGTAGCCGTCTCTTCTATTCTAATAGCTTCATGTCTCGCACCTCTCGCCTGTGGAATTCCCTTCCCTTTTCCTGTTTCCCTGTGAGCTATAATCTCCAGCTATTCAAGTGTAATGTCAATCGACATGTCCAGTTGCCTTGATCTATCCACTACCCTCATCCTTTCTTCTATCACTCCTATCTGATCTTGCTCTAAATTTTCTGTAACCCCTTGCGTCCTAGTGGCTTCCCGCCTTGCTTCGGGTGAAATGCTTAAAAAAAAAATAGAAAAGGTTACTGAATGAGGAATAACTACAACAAAGGTTGGAATTGAAATGGTAATCTTTATATCATCAACAAAATACAATACTCGCCAGCGGCGTGAAGTAGGTAAACTACTGCTGGTGGTGGTCTACTTACACTAGGGTCCAATGTATTTATGAGGATTGGGTCATACCCATTAGTGCTCATAGGTACGTTATAGAATAGATAGATAGATAGATAGATAGATAGACAGATAGATAGATAGATATTGCTTATTTTCCACGCGAAGCGAGATATAACAATTGTCAATGTGTACATATGTTAAATCAAAAGCTTTTATAGTATGACGATAATATACCAGTAGGCCCAATGGCGGTAGTGATGGATCGCCAACCAATTAACTGCAAGGATTCTTAAAAATCTTGGACAGACAGACAGACAAAAATGAACAGACTATATTAGGCAAAAAGTGAAAGTTCTCTACTTGAATTTAACATCGTTAAAATTCGCTCAGCGCCACAATCTTTATGACATACAATCAAATTCCGGTGCTCCGATCACGTCCACTTCCTATAGAAAAGACAATCCAAAATAATCGATAAAAGACGAAACGCTAATATAAACCTACAATAACGACAATAAACTCTGTGTGAAGGAGACAGCGCTTAATGTTTGCTTGGGCGCTCACATAAAAACGTCAAACGTTAAGAATTATAATCGACTGCTATTAAATCAAAGACACATCTAAATCATAGCCCGGCTTGTTTGATCTATGACAAGTGCCTCCTGATCAGTTCACAACAGGTATAATTTAGTAAAGTCATTGGTTGATTAAACTTATTGTAGTTGACAGTTTGATTGGTCAAGTGATTGAGTAGGAAGTGAAGGGTACCTGTCGGTTGTGGGTCAAACAGAAGAGGTTAGGGACTCGTGGCAAATCGTAGGCTGCGTGAATCTTAATTGTTGGAATTTAAGGGTTATAAACCGTGAAAGATGTAAGAGAGAATAAAAAGAAAACAGATAGATAGATAGATAGATAGATAGATAGATAGATAGATAAAGAAAAGACGTAGATAGATAGATAGATAGATAGATAGATAGATAGATAGATAGATAGATAGATAATGAAAAGACCGAGATAGATCGAAAAAGAAAGAAAGAATGGAAGAAAGAAATTAACAGACTGAGATAGATAGATAGATAGATAGATAGATAGATAGAAATGAACAGATTAAGATAGCTAGCTAGCTAGCAAGATAGATAGATAGATAGATAGATAGATAGATAGATAGATAGAAATGAACAGATTAATATAGCTAGCTAGCTAGCTAGCCAGATAGCTAGATAGATAGATCATAATGTGCTCGTAAGGATTAGTAATTTGTTTTTTTTTTTTTTGCCAAAAACAAAGTTTTTGCTATGAATAATGCCTGCTTAAGATTAAGCTTCGTGTAGTTTACATCTCTTTCGCCAATTCCTCCACGTAGAGTCCTTTTAATTTGTTTTATTTAGTTTATGCTTTGAGCATTCCGTTTCCTCAAATAAACTAAGAATGTAATTATTGATCCTTATCAATGTTATTTATTTGAGCTTTACGGCATTTCATAAATAGTATTTCGAATTTTGGTTTGTTTACTCGTTTCTTTTTAGATAACCATCCAATATGATAAAAAGTTGATTGTCATTATGAAGAATTCTTCGTTTGATTTATGCAAGAAAATATGCATGAAAATGTGTCCAAAGCTTTTTTTTTTATCTGCCTATTTCGTTGTTATATTTATGTTGATTCATTAATTTCTGCATATTTTGTTCAAAGTTGATCAATTTTGCTTATAATTCGGTCACGAGTTGATGCCATGTCGTTTGATAGCAACTGGCACATTTGCAGAGTTTTGAAGAGACAGCTTCCAGCATTTATTTTTCATTCTTAGTCAACTCCTCACAACCCAATCTGGGTTTTGTTCTGGTAAGGAATTTAACGATAGCAAATATATCATCAAAAAAACTCCCGGAAATTGCATAACTCTCCAGAGCAGATTATGACAACATTAATACTGTCCTGGGTGTCATGAATAATCAAGAGTGGTTTCCCTTTGTTTTGTTACTCTCCTCTTTAAGAGAGCTATTTCTGTCTACTAGGAATATAAAAGGACTTTCTTAAAGGCTACACCTGCGTACTTTTGTCATTACATTGCGTATGACTACAAACTACATCTGTTAATAAGGCCTCTGAAAGGGAGATTTTGAGGAGGGTGCAACAACCTCTTCATTGCACTTTTTTCCTAGTTCCACCCTGACCAGCTATGGGTAAATATTTAACCACCAAACTTGGATCAAAACACTGCGAAAGTATAAAAAGAATTATAGTAAAAATACCTTTTCATAATATAAAAATTACCAGCAAAACATTTTTGGGTGTATTTTTTAAGCTTTTCACCCCAAGCAAGGCGGGAAGCCACTAGCACGCAAGGGGTTACAGAGAGTTGAAGTTTAGAGCAAAGAGGAGTGATAGAGGAAAGGATGAAAAGAAGGATAGGGGATAGATTAGGACATCTTGAGACGTCGATTGACATTACATTTTAATAGTTAGAGATTATAGCTATCAGGGAAACAGGAAAAGGTGAGAGGTGCGAGACATGAAGCTATCGGAGTAGAAGAGACGGTTACATTTAACAGTTTCGACAGTGAAAGGGTGAGAGCGAGATGCCAGCCTAGTTGAACGCTTAAATTCATGAAGTCTGGAAACCAGCAAATGCAGCTCATCTAAGCAGTTACCATGAAAGTATTTGTAAAACAGACAGAGAGAGGCGACGGCGCGTCTGTGAGAGAGCGACTGCAGACGAGATGCCAGATCAGAGCCAATTACGTTGCATATCTGTCTCTGGACCTTATCAAGAACCTCGAGACAAACAGAAGGGACTTCAGACCATATATGGCAGCAATACTCCATGCAAGGGCGAATGGTTGATTTGTAGATTTGAAGGATTGACTCCGGCGAGAAAAAATTATTGTAAAAAGAAAAAAACATCAACATTTTCTTTGTAAAAGAAAAAATTACCAGTAAGATATTTTTTGTAAAAAAAAATTGCTAATTCTTCCAAAAAAATTAAATTTCGACATTAAATGACCCATAAGGTGTTGATATGCTGCTAAACAGAAGAATGAACAAACAACATCAATAGAGACTTTGTCTTGTCATTCTTTAGAAACCGCCTTCCAAGTTCTAAATCAATTGAATGTCTAAAAATGATTGAGGAATATATATCGATTCACTAAGTCAAACATGTCTGGCGATGACCCCTAATATAGAAAGGTTTGAAACTTCATCAGGAGTACAAGTACAAAATCTGATCCGCCATCTTTTTCACGTTTTCATAGACTTTCCCCTGTATGTATACAAGCACAGATGCCAAGAGTTGTCTACTAATGACTTAGGCATTCCATATTACATCCAAAACAAATCTATTAACCCTAGAACACTAACCATCAATTAAAGTTACACCACTACTAACCATGGGTATATCAAACCCGATTTTGAAAATATCAAAAATATATTAAACATAAATCTTTATTTGAAATATTTTACATGCAGGCACTTCAAACTTTGTAGTTTGAGGTAATATTAATAGGAACTGAAAAACATATTATTTATGTAAGAAAATCAGGTACTGAAAATTGTAATTAAAAATAGGAAATTTTGCGCTGAGTACTATATACCCATGGTTAGTGTTCTAGGGTTAATAGTAAACAACCTTCTTGCTTTTCCTTCCAAGGCCAATGTAATGATAATAGAAGGTGACTACATCGACGATATGATTGTTCATTGATTCGTTTTTTATGGTTTATCAACCCTTCGCAGGTTATTTAAAGCCAGAAATATTTTAGATTATAAGAATTGTTTTTAAGATAATAATTGTTTAGTGATACAAGTCTTTCTAATTAGCAGATTGAGAATAGGTGGATTCATGCCTTTCCCAAGGGTATTTGCACGTAAGTGAATATAACAAACGGCAATCGGGACTCGGCTCTTCGATTTACAATTCCGAACCGTTAATCATTACACCACCCACACATCTAAGCTTACACCACTTGGTATTCTCAAGCGGTTACCCATCTAGGTACTGACTAGGCTCGAGATTGCTTAACTTTACTGATCGTACATAGACCGGTGTTTCAACGTGATGTATCCGTAAATATAGTTGGTCATAGTTTCGGATTAGAATCAGCTTAAAAAATTACATTTTCTATTAAGTGTTCCAAGAAATAGGACTCATAATTAACTTTTGCAAAACAAAAATTATGAAAACAGTGATAGCATCTCCCCAGCGAAAAAAAATGTATATGGAATTAGTAAACACTAAATATTTTAAATATCTTGGTGTATAGATAAGTTATAATCAATTCATTATCGAAGATAAGAAAATTGAACGTAGAATAGGCTACGCTAGGGGTAGCGATATGTCCCGAAAAGGAATATATTTGTTCAAAGTGGCAAAGTGGTTGTTGATTACTGTAACCGGGTAGAACAATCTAGCAGGTAACCGTAATAGACTGGTCCTCGTCGTAGTGCTAGGCAATAAGCGTAGGCAATAGGCGAAAACTATAGGCGTAGCCAGCAGGCGTCGTCTGCACCTCCACATTAATCTGTATTTATGGCTGACACCAGCCAATCATATTACTGTGAGGAGGAGCCCAGGTGTATGCATATTAATTACATCAGGTAGTTTCACATAATACCACAAGTGGTTACATGTACTTAAACAGCCTCGTCAGACCAAAACATTCATGAGGATGCTATGCATGGTATCAAGCCCGTTTAGAAACATCTAAGCAGTCAGCTATATACAATCGTTTTCTCAGATCAATGATTAAAAATGATTCCGAGCGAATGATGCCCGTAGGTCTTAGGGAGGACAATTCCTCTTCGCAACATTTCGACTGGCGCAACAAAATAGCAAACAAAGAACTGTATCAAATAATAGAAACCATATCGCTTGAAGATTTTCAGTAACAGTAACAACTAAAATGGATAGCACATATAACTCGATGCGAAAATAATGTCATAACCAAGGCGTTGGTGTCCGATACTATTTCAAACAAAAGGTTAAAAAGGAAACTCCCATCAATAATGGAATGGGCAATACCAGTGAACTTCCAAAATTGTCTTCTTTTCAAAATGTCTTCTTTCCAAAATGTCTTCTTTCGGTTCTCGGCTTTGGTCTGTGTAGCGTCACAAACAAGTTGATCATTTATGCATTCCTTAACTGCAAATGAAACAATCAGTTTCTATTTAAGGATCTGACGAATTCACTTTTACTTAAGACCCATACGACCATAATTGCGTGTGAATGCTTGTGTGTCGTGACAATATATGAAAGTAAGTGTTCACGAGTTAGCCGTAAATATCTTCCTCTTGACCGAGTAATTGCGAGTTTATGGAGTGTGTTAGTCACGCCAGCGGTCTGAAGCGAAATTTATGTTGAAAAGAAACTTTTGTTCCCGGAGAAGTTGATCTGTAGTGGCCCCAATATGTACTCCTTCGTCGCCGCACTTACCGATGATCTCATGATCACACAGGTGACAACCCGGTTTGGACCTTTTGAATCTTGTGTTTCTGAGTGGGGTAGTGACTGTATCTTCCCGGTTAGTTGTAAATATCTTCCTCTTCGCCGAGTGATTGCGAATAATTCAAAGATTTCGGAACGATCTTTGATACTGAAATAACGAAAGCAAAAAGAATGAAATCAAATTTAAACTTAATGATGTAGTCATCATGGTTTGGCTTCGCAAAACGATGATCAAGAAAGAGCCTGTACATGTTGCTTACAGCCATATTTGTTACTGATAAGTCCAATGCAGGACAGACATACACGCTCGCAGTAGTTGCAGCTGAAAGTCCAGCCTGGTTTCGATGACTTAGCATTGCATTACTTCCTCCTCTGGCTCTTGTACCTGAAAGTGGCCCTGCAGGTATTTTCAAAGAAGAAGACAGCATGGTTGGTTGTGAGATAGTGTTGTTATCTATCCTACATATCCTCATACTATTCAGTTTTTACACCTTTACAAGAACCTCATTCGGCAACCCTGCACCTTACGTGGCTCTTGGGCCTTGCATTGGGTATCATCATCATCATGGCTTGGCTTCGCAAAACGATGATCAGGAGGGAGTCTGTACAAGTCGCTTGCAAGAACGTTTGTGACTAAGTTCAATGGGTGACAGGCATACACGGTCGCAGTAGTTGAAGTTGAAAGTCCGACCAGGGCCCGCTGACATAGCGTTACAGTACTTCCTCCTCTAGCTCATGTTCATGAAAGAAGACAGCATGGTTGGATTTTTTTTCAAGCAATCTTTGAATCGCTTCTTTGGTGCCTCTATGCCGCGATAGCCAATGAAGAGCTTGCCGTACAATAAAATGTAGTACTCTTGAAATTTTATTAGAGATACAAAATGCCATAAAAATAGTCATATTTTTAAAGAAAAGGATATAAGTAAACTAGAAAAGAGAAAAAAATGACAGTAGTCAAAGTAAAATGGCTAATCGAAAAGAAAAGACAAATATTGATTTCATTTGATGAGAGCGGAACGAAGACCAGTCAGTGATATAATAATTTTGAATCTTTTCTTATTGCCATTTTCTTTTCTTTCTCTCTCTTCCCTTCTCTCTCTCTCTCTCTCTTTCTCTCTTCCCTTCCTTCTCTCTCTCTGTCTCTCTCTCTGTTTTAGTTTCCGCTCATCTCATTTTTTTAATAGGTCTGTTTTAAAGTAATATTTCAATGTAGAATGCAATCCCGCCCCCCCCCTAAAATACCTGATGCTTTTAAAAATAAACAAGGAATCTTTGTTCTAAGAAACGTTTTATCCCGATATATACTCAACTCGATTTGGGATATACCAAAATAGAGTTTACACACAACGTCACACGAGAGCATCATTTACGCCAGGTGCAGCAGCGGGTTGACCTAGAAGGTGCCCACCTAACCACCAGGTACAGATTCGCATCTCACATGATGTCAGTGGCTACCATCTCCCATGACAGATGTTCCAACCAGCTACGCTTAGGATGTGCAAACATAGGACTATCGGCTGACAGGAAAATATATAAAGAGGTCACTCGAAATGCAAAAAAAGATATGAGAGTTTCTAACATCTCCGTAACATCTACGTTCGGTGAAAGCCCCCAAAGCCACACACACGAAGTCCACATGTGAAAAAATAATAATTTTACGAATGAAAGAGACCTGTTTACGTATAAACGTAATGTTTATGTATAATTTTACGTATGAGAGAGACTCTTATTCCTGTTAACCATTGCAACAGTAAAATTATAATAAGAAGCGATTTTTATTCTAACTGACACATCATGATCATCATTTATTCAGCGTATTTGTGCAATGACTTGTCGGTTCTTTTTTGCGCTGGGGATGTTGAGGTTAACCCGTCTCTCCTCTCCGGATTTTTTCCGCCTAATAATAAAGCCGTTGATCTCTGAGGCTCTGTTCCTACGACCAGACTGGCGACTGGCCGATGGCCGCCTGGCCCAGGTGGTGTTCTTCTTCATCTGTCGGGTCAGGAAACCCTTCCGAAGACCCTCAAACAGTTTACCCGACAGGTCGATGTGGTTGACCGGTGTGTGGCCGTTGCAGTATACCGAAACATCAGCGTGTTAAAAACAGAAAGAAATGAGATGAGTTTTAGCAACAAAAGAAGTTTTCGGACTCTATATAAACAGCCGAACCTGGGATAATTGGATGACTCCGGTTTGAAACACAACTGCTAAAAGAAGCATAATTGTTTTAAAATCTGTTGAAAAAGTGATAGGACTCTCTGGAAAACAAAATAACAAGAACCAATTCTTTCAGCAAATCCCATTGTTCTCTCTGTAAATACAACAAAACCAAAACCCTCAGACATTTTAATTTATCGAGACGTGCTTCCGGTCCAAACACTTTTCTAGATCTTTACTCCCAAACATTTGAACTATACATCATAACAAAAAGTGTGAATATTATTTATTTTTTATGAATTCCTTGATCGACGGTCTGTTTCCAACCTGAATCATACACAAACAGATTTCTAACTTTAAATAAGCACCACGTTGGGCCGAAGAAAATTGATAGACAAATATCTGACAAGCCAAATGTGTACACTATTTACATTATTCGGACTATTGTTCTCATCTTTGTCGCCATATTTATTACAACGTTTCGGCCGTTGTACGCTCCGGCCTTCTTCAAGTGGTTAGAATGTCGAACTGAACCCTTTATTTTGCTCACTGGGGTAGACTGTTTTAGTTCCACGTGCCATATTTAATGGATGTCAGTTATCAGTTATCTCCTGTTAATTCCCCTCTCCAAGTTCTCCACTGCCTTAACCTGGTATTGAACTCACACTCTTTGGGTCCTGTCACTGGATCTAACTAACAATATGGGAACCAGTAATAAGGAGTGCCAGAGAAAAGCAATAACAACAACGAAAATTGCAATATGAGCTCTGCTAAAAAAAATTCAACGATAACAGCAAAAATTGCAATATGAACACTGATAAAAAAAATAGTTGCTGAAGACATTACGTTTATAATAGACAGAAATTAATGCACAGATGTCTTCAAGGACACATGGCATAGTGGATAAAGCCGTTAGTTAAATCCAGTGAGAGGACCCAAAGAGTGTGAGTTCAATACCCGGTTAAGGCAGTGAACAACTTGGAGAGGGGAATTAACAGGAGATAACTGACGTCCTTTAAAGATGGCACGTGGAACTAAAACAGTCTACCCCAGTGAACGAATTAAAGTTCGACATTCCAACCACCTGGATAAGGCCGAAACGTTGTAATAAATATGTACACTACGATCCAAAGTTTTATTTACAGGTAGAATTAGTAAAATTAGCCTTGCTTGCCTCAGACATCATAACGTATTCTCCTGACATTACTAGTTTTAGCACTCCCCTGTCGGTTGGGTCAAGAATACGGCGTCCACACGGAATGAGGTAACCTCACCAAAACGAGGCGCCAGTTTACTGTGCCGCTGTTTACTGCTTTGATTCGCGCGCAAACCAAATGAATGTCTACCTTTTACACTCTCGTGCAAATCCAAACATATGTCTACCTTTGTGACAAGGGTGTAAACAAAACCCATGTCTGCCTTTTTGACTCGCGTGCAAACGAAAGCAATGTTTACCTTATTTATTCTCGGGCAAACCAAACCTGTGTCTACCTTTTTTATTATCGCGCAAACCAAACCAATGTCTACCTTTGTGAATCTTCTGCAAATCACATGTCTACTTCTTTAATTCTTGTGCAAACCAAACTATCTATCTATGTTTAACTATCTATCGTTTATGAATGATGGAATTCGGTCTGAAATAATATGGCAAAGATATATATGCCGTAAAACAAATTAAAACACACACACACTTGGTACAATAGCTTTTCTCCAGTTTTTCGCGACCAAAACAATTAATCTTAAAAATCAAAATGTTATTGTTCCAGGAAAGGCCAGCTACAAATTAACCCTGTATCTTATTAACTGAAGTTCGATTAATTTAAACTTCAAATGTTGACCAATTAACACTAAGACAACAATTTTAGCAAACGTGTTATAGATTTCTATTCATTTATTAAGTCAAGTCACTTACGAAAACATTCTTTTAATATTATTTACTAGAATTAATACAAAAGCGGTATAAAGCGACGAGAAACTTGGTGAGAATTGAAATCATTTGTAACGATCTATCAAACAAATTTTCTGAACATTTCGTTACGGCGAAGCGTTTTATTTTTTTTTAATAAAACAGTTCTTTTGGAAGATGAGGAATATTTTCATGTGTTGTATTAAAAGATACTCTTCATGATTTGTATTGATAGCAATCTAACATAACTGTTACCTTGATATTTTTTATAAAAATTTTATCTTAAATGTCGTTTTAAACGCAAATTTATACAGTAACAGGTGCAGGCTGGACGAAAAAAAAATGAAATTTTGTCACATTCTCTCTGTTGACAATAATTGGAGGACTTAATAATATTTCTGACTAACGTCGAGACATTTTACAACATGCATGTTTGCTTCCTTTCATTCAATCCACAACTATTGCGCATGCGTGAATTTCCTTTTGACTGTTTCAATAACCCCCTAACCCCCAAAAATGACAAAACTCTATCTGAAATGTATTTTATCACCATTATGTTAAAATGGATCTTGATAAACAAAATCAAATGATAACAAGACAGATTTAGGCCTATGGTCAAATCACAATGAACACACCTGTACTCGTTCGGTCACCGAAGTTGAGCAACGTAGAGCCAGATCAGTACTTAGATGGGGGACCGCTTGGGAACACCTGGTACTGTAAG